TTGGAGACTTTTGAAAACAAGTCAGAGTTAAATTGCATACCAATACATGCACATTGCTTTAACTCACTGTCAGTCTGGAGCTTGCTTGTTAACTGGTTCATTTTTTCTGGTTTTTACATATTGTGACGACAGGGAAGGAGATAACAGTAGAAGTCATATTCAGATGCTTATACATTTGGTACTCTCATACAAATCCGACAGCCTCGTGTTTCGATGTTTTTTTAATTACTAAATATTAAAATAACTTAAAGAAATTATACAATTATTACTCAATTCTTTATTTGGTTTTAAACTTACATGAATTACTTTTATAACTTACATGTATTACTATTGGAATATTTTCATGTTTTGTCAAAGACAAATTGTATAAATTAATATTGTACTACAATTTATTTACGTTACAAGACAATGTCTGACTAGATATGTGAACAAATTTTTCTTTGACAACATATTGTGAACAGTAAGTTTAGATACATATACATATGTATAGACAAAAGTATTACAATATATTCTAACACGACCCACATTTTTCCCTATTGAACATAGAAAAACCGAAAGTGTGTGTTATTATGCAATAAAATCACTGTTTGACATTCTATATGTAGACATGTGACGTAATCATTATACACCTGACGTAACCACTAAAGATGTGACGCGCTGACAATAAGTACGGAAACAAATCAGGCGCAATTTAGCTAATTACTATGTACGGCAGCATCTACATTTTTGTATTTGTTGATGTCGTGTTAGAAATGAAATAATATATCCAAATCGGTGATTTTATTGCTTGTCATTCGGATGCTGATCATTATATATAATTCCCCGCATCCGAACTCCAAACAGTGATGTTATTGAGTAATAAAATCACAATTTGGGATATATTATTTCTTAAATAAAAGGTGTTTATGTGTAGATAATTAAGATAATATATCCCAAACTGTGATTTTATCGCTCAATAAAATCACTGTTTGGAGGTCGGATGTGTGGATTTACGAGGGAGAATGATGCACATTCAATCAACAAACAGTGATTTTATTAAGTGATAAAATCACCAATTTGGATATATTATTTTGATTCTAACACAACATCAACAAATAAAATTTAAATGCTGTACTACCTTATATATAGCTAAATTGCGCCTGATTTGTTTCCGTACTCATTTTCAGCGCGTCACATTTTTAGTGGTTACTTTGCGTGTATAATGATTACGTCATTTGTCTTAATATAGAATGTCAAACAGTGATTTTATTGCATAATAACTCACACTTTCGATCTTCTATGCTCAATAGGGAAAAATGCGGGTCGTGTTTGAATATTAAGTAAAATATGTTATTGACCCTTTGTTTTCTGTTAGATAAAAGTAAATTATCAGATATATTCTATCTGCTATTTAAAATCATTCTTAAAGATGTTAATCTCTTCCTCAGCTGTATGTGCGTTTGTGTGCACACCTGTGAATTTTATTGGGGTGGGGGGATTGCATTTTGCAATTGTTATTATTTGCAGGCCTTATTTTTTCTCATTTAATTACTGACTGATTTATATCATAATAAACAATGAAATTTGGGACTGTAAAGAATATTAAGAATATCATGAGCAGTGAAGTTAGAAGCTTAGAACATCTATTATCATCTTTCTCATACTTTTGGCTTAATATAGTAAAGAAGATCCTGGATAATGCTTAAATAATATAATTTGTACACAAAAGCACATCCTGGAAATTATCTAAGTTTTCAAATTAAGAAAAGCCTATGTATAGAATAGATGTAAAATAAAATGAGAGTGTTCTCATTTTCTAAAGGCTTATATTAACATCTTAGATGGTTTTGTCATTATGTAAGTTTACATTTTGAACTTTGATTCTTGCAAAAACAAACATATTTGGTACTTATGATGGGTTTGACAATCTGAACTGTGTGTACCATGGAAAAAAATATTATATATAAAGTGAATTTCTTTTAAAACAAGAGCTGTCCGTAAGACAGCGCGCTCGACTTTTTTATTGCTTGCCAATAAAAAAAGTTTTTGCAGTAAAAGGCAATACAAGAATCTCTGTATTTTTAAAGTGAACAATGGCCATGAGCATTAAGATATTTAGTGAAGAATTATTTTACTGAATTGTGTGATACCCTTGAACAGTTCAGTCAAAAAGTGGACTGGTACTAAAAACTTAACCAAGATTCTAAGTCGATAAAAGGCCTTAATTTTTAAAACAAATCCTTGACAGAGTTACCTTCTCTTGCGTACAGATGGGGGTAATGATGTGAAATAGCATTAAAAGTTTCAAAGCAATATCTCAAAGGGTTAAGGCAATAAGTGGATTTTACCCATATTCAATGTATTTTCTTAGTCAAAAAGGGGCATAATTCTGTCAAAAACCTTGACAGAGTTATGTCCTCTTGTCTGTTGATGAAGGTCGTGATGGTAAACAAGTATGGTCAGTTTCAAAGCAATACCTCCAATGGTTTTGAAATAAAGTGAGGTGGTACAAAAAACTTAACCAAGCTCAATACACTTTCTAAGTCAAAAAAGGGCCATAATTCTGTCAAAAACCTTGACAGAGTTATGTACTCTTGTCTGTAGATGGAGGTTATGATGGTGAACAAGTATGGTAAGTTTCAAAGCCATACTTGTAATACTTCTGAAATAAAGTGGGGTGGTACGAAAAACTTAACCAAGGTGTGACGCCAACGCCGACGCCGACGCCGGGGCGAGTAGGATAGCTCCCCTTTTCATAGAAAAGTCGAGCTAAAAAATCATTCGACTGAAATTTTATTTTAAAAACATAAAATTTGAAGGTTTTTCACTGAAATATTTAGGTCATATGTTGAATTAGTTCATACTAACCACAACTAAGCTTGGATCTGTTCATTTGACCCATTACATTTATCAGAATTTAAAGCAAAAATTTAGTTACAACCCTTTCGCACCAAATCATTTTTTGAATTTTTTTATTTTTTTGGTGCGAAAGGGTTGTAACTGAAACTTTGTCAATTATCTCTTTATGCTGACAAAATAAAATAACCTTTCCAATCAATTATATATCAGTAAATGAATGAAAGCCAAAAACCAAAATTAAAGAAGTATTTATTAGAACGTAAAAGAATAAATAAGTTTTTTGTCTCTCCTGAACAATTTCAAAATATTGAGTTACAACCCTTTCGCACCAAGGCATCGAAATTGCCCAAGGAAGCAACCAGACCTGTGAACTTTCATGTTTCTTAGCACGGGCCAATCAAGCAAACTTGTGGTCGATTTGTGACTGTCTAAATTCTTATAACATTTTCCAAACAAAACCGCCATAGTAACCAGAAAATAAATGTCAAATCTCATAAATGTCAAACTTGGCCTCCCAAAACACATGTAAATCGAAAAATAATCAACATTCAAGATGCGGAAATCAATATACTGTGCTAAGACCGCCATTTTGGTTGTTTGATTTACCTCCCCTTTTCCAGACTAATTCCCGTACCTTCCCGGACTTTTTTATGTATCAACACTAATTCCCGGACTTTTCAAGGCCGGGAGCTCCTGTTTTCAAATTCACGGACATTTCCCGTTTTCCCGGACAGCGTGGGAACCCTGATTATAATAAGGTAATATTAACACAAGTAAAGAAAAAAAAATCTAGGACATACAAAACTGTACTAAGAAAAATAATAATTTTTACAATTTTTCAACATGACCTCATAGTTTGGAACTAACATTGTATTCACGTTCAAATATCTTGATTAATGTAAATAATACTTGTAGCTTATTCTGTAGATAAAGTGAGTTAGTTTGGATTACAAGTCACATCAACAGTGTTTCACAAGATCATACGTTCTAACTGTTGGGGGAAGATTCTTCATGGTTTTTTGAGAACAAGACTCCAACACTTTTTTAGGGAAATAGTAAAGCAAAAAAGGTTTTCATCATTATTGCCCCCCTACAAATGCATTTCAGATTTGATAGTGAACAAGAACTACAATTTGGAGTAAATATCTTTGATACTTTTTGAGAAATTTACCCGAAAAAAAGACCAAGAACCAAGAAATTCAAAGCTGTATTTTTTTTTTGGTTTTGTTTTGTTTGGTTTTTATGGCAAACCATCAAAATTTATGTCATATGGCACTCAAACAGGAAAGATGATTTTGGTTAACCTAGGGTGTTTGTTACATACTGAAAGCTAGTATACCAGGGGTCAATACCATCTCACTAAATGCTGGAGCTAAAAGTTGCATTGATCCAATTGGGAATTCAAACCCATTTAGTTGCACCCAGGGATGAACTCTAGCTGACCATTGCAATTGAATTCTGATGTATTAAGTCCTTAATAACTTATAAAAATAAATTAAAACTTTATCTACCATTAAGTAATGAATTCCAATCTAAATGACTAAAACTGAAAAAGTATTTCAGGTCTAAAGTGATTAACTTTAACAATATTTGAAAAATTGATCTTTGTATTAAAGAAAAGAAAATTTATATATATATAAGAAAAGGGGGATAACTTTGCAAAAATGAATTTAAGGATAATATATGCCCTTCTTAATAAATGTCATAATTTGATAGTGAACATTTAACATCATGTTTTAAGTGAATTACTTTGATAGTTACTGAGAAAATGGACATTAACAAAAAGGCTAACCAGAGCTAAAAATCTTATTTAAAAAAGGGCATAACTTTGTAAAAAAATTTTTTTCGAATTATCTGCATTATTATCACCTTTCATGACAATAAAACATGAATGCAAAGTTTGAAATGAATAGCTTCTAATTAGATTCTGAGAAAAAATGGACCTTAACAAAAAGATAACCAATACTTCAAGACAACAATTAGCCACTCTTTTTTCATTTTCGAAAGGGAAGCTAAATATTTTGAAAATAAGTGGCATATTTACAGATGGGTAGTGATAAATTTCATCTCTACCCAACCATAACTGTGACAAATACAAACTCAATATGATAATTGATTCTTTTTTTACTACACAATGCATTAGAGATTTCAAAGAAACTCACCGCGTATATTCCAGCTATTGTGCCAATAAAAACAACCCCAGCAGCTGCAATAAGTCCAATTTCCCATGTTTTCAAGGGACATTTACCACAATCTTTTGGGCAGGTCTCGCAATTTTCACCCTCAGTTGTTTCACAATTAGAATCACCGCACACTGCAAATTTAAGGTTATATTGTCTTTAATTGAAACAAATTCACAGATTTATCACAGGGGAGGAACTGTTACACAAGGAATGGAATTCTGTGTTAGTGAGAACTGTCATGGAGTTTGGAAAAATTTTGTATATGCTACAGAAACACTGGTATCAAAGATCAACAATGGTAATTTTCATTTTTAAAAAGTGAGCTTTAGGTGCAAAATTAAACTTTAATGATTAAGCTTGCCTTTCATCTTGTATTATATGTAAATTTACTAATTTAAAGTCCATTTTTCATCGCCACTTGTTTAAAATCTGGAAGATTTCAAATGTTGTATAATTCTTGTGATAACTTTAAGTTTTGTTACTGCCAGTGTGCTTCTTGAGCTAAATCACGACACATTTAGGGGTTTTTTTTATTATTCAATAAGGCTGCAGGGCTTTTTTTCACAGGTTGGGGAAGCAGCCCAGCCCTTAATTTTGGGGAAAAATTACATGGTAATTATTTGCAAAAGGGGAAGAAAAAACTTGATGTAAATTCAATTTTTGGGGAAAACTGCATGAATTTAAAGAATTTTTCTTTGGGGAAGCAGCCCTTTACCGGTCCCCTGTAAAAGAAAGGAAAAAAACCCCGGGTGTAAATTCTTAAATTTAAAAGTAATATTATGATTTTTTTAAAATTGGTTTTTTAGAAAAACTACGGGGTTAAAAAAAAATTTACTTTTTTATTTGGGGAAAACATGGGGATATAGTAAAAAACTGTTACACCCTTTTAGGTTTTAAACCCCATTTATCTAAATGGAATAAACTCAATACTGCACTTATAGGTGGCAAATTATATTATATTACTTGTTACCAATGATTCCATGACTAAAAACAGTCCTAATGATGCTATTTTGAAGACTTTATTTTAAAAACTTTTATCACTTTTAAAAGCACTATGATATTATGTGATTTTTACAATATGGCTTTAAGTGTTACTGTCAGCAAATTTTTTTAATGGTTTTGGCACCAAATGGATTTATTTGTTGAACCATTACCAATGCAATTACAAGGGTTGTCCTTTCCCTTTTTGAACACATATTCACACAAATTTAAGCAGTTTTTAAGAGACCTTTTTAAGACAGTGTTACCAAACTCAAGAACTTTTTGATTTGATTTAACCCCTTTTATAGGAACAATTCAAACTTGAGCACTTTGAATGACTTTAAAAACCCTGTATATGATGATAATTACTGTAAATCTAAAGCTATCATCTGAACAAAGAATTAAACACAACATATCTACCTGTTCTTGGAAGAACTTTTATTGTTGCTTGAAGAGCCAGCTGCATATTAGCAATCTTGAAATGAGCAATGAGATCCGTCAAACCATCAGTGGCTATACCAGGTATAAGACTTGTCCAGTTTCCTTGATCTATTGGTCCAACTAAAATACAGATACAACATTAGTATTAAACCAATGAGCATTTCTTATTTTGGCAAATATAAAAATATGCTTGTAAAAAAAACAACAATTGAATCTAATTTGATCAAGGTAATTTTTTTTATAAAAATCAGTTTCCTTTCGATGAAACCCATACTTTTTTTCTTCATTTTTTTCTTTTTGTTTAAAACAAAGGATTTTTCTATTTGCTTACCAGAAAATGAGTCTTAAAAAATAGAAAAGCAATATATAATTCACAGCCCTTCTTAACATAAACTTAATGGTCTTAAAAAAAAAAAAAAAACACCAAAAAAAACTCTTGAAAATAAAAAAATCCTATCTGAGCAATTGTGGTTTTCAGAACAATAATTTATTGGCTTATCCGAAGATTTTAGATGTTGAACCTAAAAAGTTTGCTAATGATCAAATGCAAAAAACACTTTCTTTACCATTTCGTGACATCGTGAATTGGCAACAACTACATCAAATTGTATCAAGACTCAAATCTTACCTTTAACAGCTGAGTGAGTGTATGTAGATCCATCATGTTTCAGCAGGACCACATAGTCCTCCTTTTTTTTTGGGACAAGAATGTACATTCACGTGATTGTACACAGCAATCTGCCTTTTTTATTGTCCTGCCCATCTGTAGGACATGCTGTGTTTTCACACCAAGGTTTTTGCCTTGCTTTCAGTGCTGAAGAGTGGCATTTTAATAATATTTAAACAAGAATTTTTAATATACCGTAAAATTTCCTAATTAACGCCCCTCCCCTAACAAAGGCCCCCCCTCCAGGCCTTTTGATAAGGAAACAATCTACTCAATAGTGCTGAACTCATAATTAAAGCCATAATTTATTCAAATCATTTCAGAAATCCATTTTATTTTATAGTAACACAAATATGTATAATATGAACTTTAAACCTTAACACTTTTTAATGTTATAACCAACACTTGCTAACACTAAATCTATTTACAGTGTTTTTAGATTTAGGAAAAACTGTGTTGTAATAATAGCCCCCCCCCCCCCCCCCCCCCCCTTTTGGAAAATGTTTACCCCCGGGGTATTTACCAATTTCCCAAATGTTGGCGTCTGTCCCGAAATTGGCACCAGATGGACACACAAATAAGGAAATGTTCAAATTCGGATCTGATTGTAATAACACCGGCCCATTCCTGAGGCCATCTTGTGCCTTCGTATGACCCCCGGTTAGATTTTTCAGGCTCCGGCAGCAACTTCGTCAGCAGTCGCAAATTTTTTTGCATGTCAAAAAATTGCCGGAAGACATTGCGAAGGTTCATTTTTGTGTTACATTTGTATGCCAATTTTGCACTTCGTAAGGCGGTCATGAAGCCATCTTGTCAAATCATGTAGTCTTCGTCTTTACTTTGTGTGATCATTGGTGCCATCTGGCATTTTTTGCCTCAAGAAGACCATACGAAGAAAACAAAAAGATGCCTGATTGTCTTAGTAAGACAACATGACTATGTGAAATCCCGCAATACCGTTGTGTTGCCATCGTATTTTGGTATGATGGCATCAAGATGGGACCACGAGTGGATGAAGAAAGCAAATTTGAGTAGCTCAAGTGTTGTTTATGCATCATGGTGGACATACATTAAACGGCTAGCCCCAGACCATCTTTCTTATCTGTCAGTCCTGCACATCTCTTTAAAGACTTCAAAAGCCTTCATTATTTGCAATTACAGTCTCGACTGTCATGTGACTTTCCAAGGGATCTTCAGAAAAAGGTCGCATATGACAGGGAGTCTCTAATACAGTCTCAATATCATCTATCTGTCTTATATACAATGTGATTCCTGTATGTTTTGTGTTTTGATATTAGGTTACTGTGTTCACGTATCTTGCAAAAAACTATATATAGGATAAATTATGCAAAATAAAACCATTTTTCAAACATCAAAGAATATGTAAAAATGTTTATTGCAAACATTTGTGCACATTATATTTAATCAATAAATTACATGCATTGATTTCTTATTGGAAAAATTGACTTAGAATTTATAGATATAAAGTTCTAATTAACCTCCCTTTAATGGCCTTTATTTACATGAAATGTTAAATTGGGTGATATCTTTCATAATTATGCTTATTTGAACTTACAATATTGACAAATCTTAATTTGAGCATCATATTATAATTTATGAAATAAAAACCCGTGAAAAAATTGTGTTACAGGATCTTTTACTGTAACATATCCATATCCAAGCTTTTTTCTGGTTTGGTATCAATATTTTTTCCTTATTAATTTATGGCAGCCAATAGAAAGGTAATTAAAAAAAATGCTGCCTAAAAAATCTTCCTGGGCACTCTATAATTAAAAAAAATCTAACACAAGTCTTACCAGTTTACTCAGGTAGTACATTACACATCATGCTTCCCATGAACCGACGCTACGTCACTTTTGGTCCCTGCATGTATCTACATGCCAACTGTTAATTGAGATAGAGGTGTGTAGAACTGTTTTTGCTACAATGCTGGATTATAAATTGGACTTAATTTATTTTGGCCTCTGGTGATATAAAGGTAATTCCTTTATCGATTAACGGACCAAATTAAAAGGGTGTGAATCGTTTTAAAATCAAGGACAAAACATTTTTTGGGACCAGCAATTAGGGTGTTTTCACATTGACGGGAGTCGTTTAATTTTTAACCATTTATAAAAGGGAAAAAACGTTGGGAAATACTGGGGGCAAGGTGGATAAGACAGGGGTCGTTTTAAAACAGGGGGTCGCTTAAACAGTCTTTGGGCTGGTTTAAAAAATTTTTTCTTAATTTCCTGTAGAATGGCTTTTTTGTGTGAGTCAACGAAAAGTTCAAGGAGCGCATTTCTTTTTGATACACCTTTGAAACATGATGACAATCTAAAGACCCCCTTTTGGTGTATGATAAATTTTAAAATTTAAATAAATTTTGTTGTGCACCCACTATCAGCAACTGAAACTTGTCGCGGTTGGCTGAAAGTTTTATACCACATGGAGGCCACACGATGCCTTCGTGACCATGTTCAAATGCATCTTACTCAAAATAAGATGTCATGTACCCATTGCATGTTCTGCAGGTAAACTTCTTGGTAAAAAAATGCATCTTTAAGGTGACTTCGTGTGTGGATCGGATGCCATCGCGTGACCTTCGGTAGGAATCATGTGTAAATCTGAAACGATTGCATGACATTCTGTTACTAAGGAATCGTACTTGCTTCGGCTGTTGATTGGCTGTCGACTAATATTGGGACATCTTCGCGCAAAATTCAAAATTCCATTTTCGTAGGCCCATCTGGTGTCAATTTCGAGACAGTGTGACACCTGCATTAGGGAAGATTTACATGAAGCCAACGATCATATTAGTATGGATATGGACTTTTCAATGCAAAATCTGGATAAATGCTAAATCTGCACATGCAGCAGTAAATTCCCTCATTAAATTCAAAATCAAATTAGCTTAAATTAAATATAAAGTTGATAATGCTATGCGTTTAGCTGTGTGAAAAATTAAATCAGGGCTGCCAACAGCAAATTGCAAAATCAGAGGAAAATACGCCGAGGGTCAAGGGAGCTGCGCAAGCCCCCTTTGCGGGTCCAGGGCAGAGCCCTGGTGGGGGCCCAGGGGGCGAAGCCTCCGGAAGCTCCTGGATTCTGATGATTTGGTATGCCCTAAAATCAATTTCCTGGACTCTAAATTTGACTTCCTTGGTTGCCTTTAAAGCCATTCAGAGACACTTTAGTTGGACTTCAGGTTTTCATCAGCCCTCAAAACAAATATCCGACATTTTGACAACAGACAAGAGCGACAATGTAAACTGTAATTTGATTGGTTATTCTAAAATAGAATACCGGAAAAGACTCGATTTGACCAATGAGAAAAGCGCTTACAGACGTACCATAGGCAGCTAGCGTAACGATAAAAGCCGAAGCGTGCCGGTTTTTGGGTACTGTATAAAATATGACGAATGAATTTATTGTCTTTGCTGAATTTACATCGATCTCAAAAATGACCCAGGAGCTCACGAAATCCGCGGATTTCCGCGAATAATCAGCAGCCCTGTTAAATGCTACATCTGCACATGCAGCATTAAAATCAAAATCAAATGAGCTTAAATTAAATATAAAGTTGATAATGCTATGCGTTTAGCTGTGTGAAAAATTAAAGCAGATCAAAGTATATTTTCATTCAAATACAGTAAATTTGCACATACAAGTATTTCTGTTCCTGAATATTAGTATCCCAGATTCGAGAAAAAAAAAATTTCGTTGTTTGAATATATTGACCAATATGGAAACATTTGATATGTAACACACAAACCAGTGATTTTTTTCCCTATATAAGTCGTACTGAATAACGGACCCATTTACAATCACAAACAGACCTTCGCAATTTTCAGACTGGGTCCAACGGACCCGTTCAGAATTCTGATGAAATTTCACAATTTGATTAATTAAGCCTTTAATAACGTATGATTTCCTCTCTTCGCATAATAATGCTAAAATTTAGCTTGTTGTGATTTGTTTATCTTAAAATGCGTTCAGCTTTAAATTTTCGTACTGTTTAATTTATACTATTAAACTTGTAAGGACGAATCAATACAGAAACAAGCGTCTGGTAATTTCTGTAAACATCATTCAAAATGTTTCATAACAGTAAGTACTACATTAAAAATTTATATGTTCTTACTGCTTAATATGATATTTACGATCTTAAGTAAAAAATTTACAATTTGTTAAGACACAATACTTTTTTTTTCACAATTTTTATGGTACCGGACCCATTCAAAATTCAGGGGAAAAAATTGCTGCACTTATGAATGCCAGTATTTGATTTAGGCCAAAAAAAAATAATTGTCACTGGTTACTGTGACATGTTAAACAACTTAAAACAAGAATTTGTATCAGAGTTACCAACGTCCCCCGCCTCTGGGAAAATTTATATGAAGCATAAAATTGTGCTTTTTCAAAAGATTGAGGCATGGATCTAAGGACTTTCAGTCCAAAATTATGATCAATGCTAGATCTGCAAATTCAACAATAAATTTATAAAAGAAATAAAATGAAACACTGAATTTAAAAATCTATCATGTAAAGCTTCGACCCTCTAAGTGGTTGACCTTGGAGGTAGTGGTGCAGGTGTAGTGCATGACATAACGTCTTGTTATTGTTACCATTTGTACCAAGTATTTTCAAAATCCCTTGAACTATGAAGAAGTTATAGATGGGACACAAAATATACCCTCTAACAGACTATGTTAATCTTTGACCTTGGAGGTAGAGACCCATGTTTTGTGCCTGACATATCTTCTTATTATTGTGATTATTTGTGCAAAGTATTTTTAAAATCCCTTGATCTATGAAAAAGTTATGGACTGGACACAAAATATACCCTTTAACAGACTATGTTACATTTTGACCTCTAAGTGTGACCTTGACCTTGGAGGTAGGGATGCAGGTGTTATACTTGATATATCGTCTTATTATTGTGACTGTTTGTGCCAAGTTATTTCAAAATCCCTTGAACTATGAAGAAGTTCTACATTGGGCACAATATATACCCTTTACAGACTATGTTAATTTTTGACCTCGAAAAGTGACCTTGGTGCCGGTATGCAGGTGTTGCACATGACACATTGTCTTATGATAGTGACTATTTGTGCCAAGTATTTTTAAATTCTTTTGATATATGAAAAAGTTATGGACCAGACACAAATATTCCTTATAACAGACTGTTAATCTTTGACCTCCAAGTGTGACCTTGACATTAGAGGTTGGTGACAGATTGTTGCGCATGACACATGATATCATCTCATTGTTGTGAACAATTGTGGCAAGTATTTACAAAATCTCTTTAAAGTTAAGAAAGTTATAGACTGGACACGACATATACCCTCAAATACACAATGTTGACCTTGAATGAGCAAGAGTAACCTTGACCCTGGAAGTAGAGGTCTGGTTGTTGTGTATGACACATCGTCTTATTATAACAAACATTTGTGCTAAGTTATTTCAAATTCCTTTGATAAATGACAAAGTTATGGACCGGAGACGAAATATACCTTGTAACAGACTATGTTAATCTTTGACCTCCAAGTGTGACCTTGACCTTGGAGGTAGGTGACCGGTTGTTGAGCATGACATATCTTCTCATTATTGTGAGTAATTGTGGCATGTCTCAATATGGTGATCATTTCTGTGAAATAGTTTTAAAATCCGACTTCAAATAACAAAGTTATGGGCCGGACACGATTTTTGTTCAAGGTCATGCTGTGACCTTAACCTTCAAGGTAGCAACCCAAATGTTGCGCGCGACAAATCCTCTCAATATGGTGATCATTTCCGTGAATAGTTTTTAAATCCAACTTTAAATAACCTAGTTATCGGCCGGACACGAATTTGGGATGTATGTACGGACTGACGGACGGACGGACAACCCGACGACTATATGCTCCCCAGAAATTTTTCGGGGAGCATAAAAAGTTATGGAATGGACACAACATATACCCTCAAATAGACAATGTTGACCTTGAATGAGCAAGTGCGACCTTTACCCTGTAGGCAGGGGTCTGGTTGTTGCGCATGACACATCGTCTTATTATAACAAACATTTGTGCCAAGTTATTTCAAATTCCTTCGATAAATGACAAAGTTATGGGCCGGACACGAAAGTGTGACGGACGGACAGAGCCTGTTTCTATATCCATCTTTTTTCTTCGAAAAGGCGGGGGACAATTAAAATATCAACTGTTGAACAAACATTATTTTTAATCCATGTTCCAGGCCTCAATTTGATATGTTCTTTACTAATTAGTCCATAATGCCGCATGCATGCAGTAACTGCGTGACGTAAGGAAAACCCCTACCCCGATTGGTCGCTATTTATGTAAATACTAAACAGAAACACCTTAATTTTATGCACGGAATGCCCTCATGAAAACAATCTTTATACAATATCACGCTTTACAGATTAAATAAGCGATTTTTGGACATGTAAAAGTAACGTTGAAGATTCTTGCTTCCGTTGAGATCTTGCAAGTAGATGATTCATACCTTTGTGTTTTGCGCGATTCGTAATAAAATTTTTTTACTTTACAAATTCGGGAAAAAAAGTTTAGGGTCGGAGGAAAAAAAGGGTCGGTCAGGTCACCGTAAACAGACATATTTTTTTATTTGGCCTTATACCTATACACACCCCAGTATTATCAAAATTTTTATAACACTTACTCCAAATCTCCTGGACCAACACCAGTGAAATGACCATTTTTCACCGCCCAGTCATAGAAACCTGGTTGAACCTGCAGGAAGTAAGTAACATTAAAAGGATCCTGTGCACGCATTTCATCTGGTGGCTTTAACACCCATTTCATTTTGAAGTTTTCTGAAAGAAAAATGAAAGATTGCTTTGAAGCATGAAAATTGTACACAATATCATCATTAAACAAATTGTTGATAAATAATGCAAAAATGTGAAGCTTTGAGCAATCCAGATTTACTTTTATGTCAGTTAAAAGACCCTTAATTTTTGCATATCACAGTCAATGAATTTTAGATTTTGAATTTACTAGCCAGAATTCCAGTTTTGAATTCATTCTCCTTAATATTTCGCTAAATTTTCTTAAAATTTTCACTGGGCTGAACTAATTTCCACTTGCCATCGGGCCATTGATAAATTTGATGACTCACGGTAGGGAATCACGTGACTTTTACGGTTACGTGTACAGACAATATGGCGGCCTAAAAACCTCGCTTCACATGTGTTTTTCAGGTAATTCTTTATTATATCCCTTTTACTTACATACGAGACCTGTTGCAGCCTACGCGGAATAAAGAATTGTTGCCGCCTATACCTTATTTTCCACCCCTGTGCTCATAGCTTTTACAAACACTCAAAAATTCAACAGAAATTTTCAATGTGAACAATTATATTTCGGGAAAACTGGTCATTTTCTATTCCAATACATGATAGAAAAATGATTTGGGTAACTCCCACGCGTACTTTTATTGTTGATAAAACCAGTCAACATTTAACATGCCCAATAGTTACATTTTCAAATAAAGAAATTCTATGAACATTTTCTCTTTGCTAACTCTACATAGTTTAATCAAATTCATAAAAAATACAAATTTTGCGTGAATGTTACCCAAAAAATAATTGTCCACATTGAAAATTTCTGTTGAATTTTTGAGTGTTTGTAAAAGCTATGAGCACAGGGGTGGAAAATAAGGTATAGGCGGCAACAATTCTTTATTCCGCGTAGGCTGCAACAGGTCTCGTATGTAAGTAAAAGGGAAATAATAAAGAATTACCTGAAAAACACATGTGAAGTGAGGTTTTTAGGCCGCAATATTGTCTGTACGCGTAACCGTAAAAGTCACGTGATTCCCTACCGTGTGACTGTTAGTCATTAACTATGACCGAAATTTCATCTGGCATGAGGGGAGGGGGTGCCAGATGAGTCTCATGCTATACAAATCAAATGGCATCATCTTGGCACATTTTAAAAACATTAACCACGTCAAAATGGCATGTGATTAAGAATGAAACTGCTTGCCTATAAGACGACGTCATTAATATAAATAGAATTGTAAATTCATAAACTATCTGTTAATGGTTCATATAGTAGCAATATCTGTCCCTCAGCAGCAACTGCCATTACGGCCCTTATATGGGCATATACCCCCAGGAGGGATACATGAATTCCGATCCGAACAGCAATATATGACAGATATTATTATCATGCAATACTTAATAGGTTACCCGCCACTTCAAAATGTTTAATTCAAATGTAGTTTACCTTCACAATGCTCATCATTTAGAGGATTTTGATTATCCTGTGATGCGGTTAAATCCCAACAATGGAATCGATAATTGTTGAAGCCATGCCACCCTTTCACATAAGCAATTCTGCTAAACACCTGTAAGATAAGATAAAGCAGGTATAAAGCATATTTACATACATGTAGATTCTATAAAATATAAATAGTACAAGTAACATGCTTGACACACTGTAGGCCAGGCTATTTGGACTTTTGTAAGACAAAAAGTGTTTGCAAAATTTATAAATGTTAGCTTTAACCTAAAATACAAAATTTTCATGAAATTTCTTCAGTGCTTTTTTTCTTTATATATTACAACAACCTTAAAACAGTACTGTTCCCATTAGAAAATAGACATTAAAATACCCAATTTCCAATGTTAAAATTCCCAAAATGTCTGTTCAAAATTCCCTCAAGGCCAAGTGATTTCTCTGAAATCATTTAAATCCAACATATTCACAGTGTTCGAAATTAGCAGTAGTCCGATAGCCCCTGACCACTAAATTTCTCCTCAGGCTACCAACTTTTCACAGTAACAAGCCTGACCAGGCTACTGTAATTTCATAGGCAATATAAATGAATAAATGAATCGTGCTAGTGAAATGTCTTTTGGGCTAGTAATTATTCCAATCTGGTAGTCCGACCAGCCTATTTGATTCAAATCCTTATTTCTTACACTGTATTCATATAAATCACCACTAAACAGTTCTACGAGTGTACAGTGGAAGCTGTTAGCTATCTTTATTTATGATGACCAACCTTATTTGTAGCTGAAAAAATGCTTAAAAAAATTCCCAATTTAGGTCAAAAGAACACATTTTTTTCCCAATCAGTCTGGTCAACTACCAGCACCATTCCCATAGTAGAGAAAAAAAAACCCTGTTCTTCAGGGCTGCCAAAAGCAAATTGCAAAATCAGAGGAAAATACGGCGGGGGTCAAGGGGGCTGCGTAAGCCCCCTTTGCAGGTCCAGGGCAGAGCCCTGGTGGGGCCAGGGGGCAAAGCCCCCTGAAGCTCCTGGATTCTGATGATTTGGTATGCCCTAAAATCAATTTCCTGGACTCTAAATTTGACTTCCTTGGTTGCCTTTAAAGCCATTCAGAGACACTTTAGTTGGACTTCAGGTTTTCATCAGCCCTCAAAACAACGAAATATCCGACATTTTGACGCATTTTGACAACAGACAAGAGCGATTTGACCAATGAGAAAAGAGTTTACAGACATACCATAGGCGGCTAGCGTAATGATAAAAGCCGAAGTGTGCCGGTTTTTGGGTACTGTTTACAATATGACGAATGAATTTATTGTCTTTGTCGAATTTACATCAATCTCAAAAATGACCCAGGAGCTCACGAAATCCGCGGATTTCCGTGAATCCGCGGAAAATCGACAGCCCTGGTTCTTTCTAGCAATTATTTTAATTAGTAAGTTTACCAGTGCCTGTTCCGATCAGCCAAAATGCTCTTTTTACATGCTAGACTTAGAATTACTCCCCTATTGTCTCAGGTGTAGAAGTGTCATTGCGACATGATGTAGGAACTTTAATAAACCATAAAAAAATGTGTTTACATGACAGAATAATAAAACGAGAGTAAAATAGTGTTGTTTTTTTCTGTGTTAATAATGCCAATGTGTTAATTAACCCATTACTTCATGAGCATTTCTTGAAAGATGGCTGTTTTCTAGAGGTGCGCGGTTTAACCGGTATACCGGTAAACCCTGGTCCGAGACATCTGCGGTACGTACCGCGGTACAGACCTGGAAAACCGGTACTTTTAGCTCTAATTTTTTAAAGCAATTACAGATCTGTAAAATGTACTAAATTAAACAACATTTTCTGTTGTACATGTCAATATTTCTTTGAATTAACCTTTTTGCAAACAACTTTCGCCGACTGTTTAATATCATTCTTCGATAGTTCTTAGCGAAAATTGAATGCTTTATCGATTACCGCATGTAAGCCAGAATTGTCGACTTGCATGATCTCAGTTGAAGAAGCAAGAATTGTAGACTTACTTTTACTTGTCCAAATATCGCTTATTTGATACGAAAAATTATGGTAAAGATTGATCATTCATAAGGGCATTTCTTGCATAAAATTAAGGTGTTACTATTTTAAGTATTTATATAAATAGTGACCAATCAGGCTAGAGGATGGGTTTTCCTTACATCACGCACTTACTGCATGCGCATGGCAATTAACTAATTATAGAACGGCGTAGAAAGTGGATTAAAAGTAATGTTCGTTCAACTAATGAATATTAATTAAGCAGTAACATGGTCAGCTGTTTTCTATGTGATAATTTTAATTTGTTTTGGGGTATAGTGGTGCAACGATATACCGGTATATTGCAATACAGTCTCGGGTCGATACGTACCGCGGTGCAGCTGCCCTGTATTGCGGTTTTTTCTTTAATATTTATGCCGAAATAACATGAATGTAGAAACTTCAATTTTGAATCAGTAAGCAACGATTTACGACATCAAAAACAAAACATCAATGAAACATGAAAAGATTGCGGACACTAGTCGATCCCTGTGATGTATAAAGAAACGCCGCCGCGAAACTTTTCCTGACGAAGCTCTTTGATCTTACCGCGCGAGTAGCAGAATCGTGTGACGTCATTTTCAGAGTGCGGCTTTGATCACGCTTTATTAAATTACACCCAGTTACACAATTTAAGTTAGGACTGATTAAAAAAATTGTTGATTAACTGAAATAAAAAAATGGAAAAAGAAGATTTTGAACTAATTGAAAATGAGAAAGCTAAAAGTAAAATATGGGTGGAAATCAACTTAAAAAAGAAAATCTACAGGAAAAATTGAGGACGCATAGCCGTTTGTAAAAAATGTAAGATGGATATTCGCTACAGCGGAGGGACCACAAATCTAAATACACATTTGACTCGACACCACAAAATCAATCTGCAACAAGGTGCATGCAAGTCTGGTACTAGTTTGATCGCGGCAACAGCGTCAACCGTAAAGCAGCCAACAATTATGAGTTCTTTTGGGCAGACTTCCAAATACAAGCCTACAAGTCAGGGGTATAAGGACATAACGCAAGCCGTCGGAAAATTCATTGTTAATGATCTTCGACCGTTTAGTGTTGTCTCAAATGATGGATTTAAGGATATGATTCGTGTTTTAGACCCTAGATACGACCTACCGTCACGTACGTACTTTTCTGAAACTGTTATACCGAACATGTACAATGAACGCGTGGGGTATGTTAAGTCATGCTTGAAAGAATCTATAGATACATGTATGTGTTCTAAAAGAATAATAAGAAGAGTTGAAATATAGCTTACGTTTTACTGTTTTCTTTAATTATTTTAGTATACACTGTACCACAATACGTATCGCAATACAGGCTGTCTATATCGCAATATATCGCAATACGGGTTTGGCTGTATCGTTGCACCCCTATAATGGGGTACATGTTTGTTTTGGTGTCTGACACAGATTAATTAAATACATTTCTCAAACAAAAACAAGTGCTGGTGGCCAAATAAGGCATTTTTTCACCATTTGAGACAACAAAAAGGGGAGGGGGGTGAAAAAGGCGTGTATATCACGTAATGGGTTAAGTTATTGTAAGGTAAGTCAAAAAATTTTAAATAACAACATTTATTGATAGTTAATTCCACAAATTCTTTATTGAACTGACGAGAAACTTATATTTAAATAACAACTTTTCTTAATAGCTAATTCCATAATTTCTTTTTTCATGTCCGACGAGCACAAATTTGCAAGATTTAACAATTTAATAATTCAATACTGGAATTTGGGCCTGAGTAAATTCAAAATCTTAAATTCAATGACTGTTACTTGCTCTGTCTTCCTTTAAGATATTGAGTACCTTTGTTAACTTATGGTCATTGGGTACTTTTATATGTATGAAAAACTTTTATGGCCATAGACATTCGGGCTTTGTATATCAAAATATCATTTAGCCCGACCAAATTTTAACTAGCCCAAAAATTCAAACAAAACCTGAGGCCAGGTTTTTCAAATTTACTTAAATCTTGAGAAAATAATGCAAAGTGATATCATTTGATTTAAAACATTTGTTTCTGATATTCTTAGAAAGGGTGTAAAAGTCAGTAGACTGATGGTCAAATGATCCCCTCTTGCATCAAAACTTACTTGGAAAAAAACTGGTATAAATGATTCTATATATTAATTATTTCGAAAAACCATGTAGCAATAGCTTAAAAAATCAATATTTTTCTCAGTCATTGGGTATAATAAAAATTATGTATTTTATGTAATTTTAAGGATCTAAAAACAATGCTAGACTGTCAGACTACACTCCCTACATTTTATGCCAGCCCGAACGGAATTTTACTAGACTGGGGCTCGGGCTTTGCCTATTTTTTGCGAACTGTGTATCTACATGATCATTTCTGTGTTCTACTTATTTCTCCTTTTGTAACCATAACAACTGTTAGAATTTCAATTGGCGGGGATTCATTTTATTTACACTGTATCGTTTAAAGGAACATAATAGGTGGGTTTGGTGCCGGTTTAAACACATCAGCAGCCAGTGCTTATGCTGCCGACGGTTCCAAGGCAGTGCCACTTATAATGTGTTCCTAAGATGTATGTCTTTGTTGTTTCATACTGTTTTGGCGACACTTTTGTTTGTGTTTATTGTTGTTTTCTCGTCTACCGCAAGTATCTTACCTTTTGTTTTTAATTTTGCCCCTACCTTCCCCGAATCTCCTGACTTCCCTTCCCCTGTGCCCTTTTACTGTGGGCCTATTAATCAATCATTTGATTTCCTTTTCAGTTAGACTATTGTTTCTCTTTAGAGTCAGTGTACCCGGTTCCGCACAGGACCCGGTCCCGCACACTTTCCCATGTTTCATTTTTTCTTAAAAAAATCAAATGAATTTATTTAGTTTTCATTTGTTTTTCACTGAACTGGCATGTTTTCAAAAGGATATGACATAATCTGGGATCTTGCACCCCAGCCTCTCCCTAGACAGTGCAGACGAAAATGTAAATACATGTACATGGCTGTGTAGGTCACACATAAAAACAACTTATTCAGCAATTAAACCATGCTAATTTCTATTTCAATGTTAAGATATT